AGGATCCGGTCGGACGGATGGCGGCGACGTATATGGTATTATTCTAGCACCTTCAATTCTGTGGTAATATAGTCACAGGACGCAACTGAGATTGATATATATGATGACGCGCGGGCCCCGTAAGGGAGCTGGAGGGGGGTGTTGGAGACCAGAGATTCTGATTCCAAGTGGGGTTATCCTACTTAGAGTGGTTCCTAGGTATTGGATTCTGGTATTCCTAACACCCTGACCCTCTTGGTATAACTGTGACCTCCTCTTATATCGTATAATAGAGAAGTGCAGAAATGGCCAGACAAGGTATGGGTAAAGTTACTGAACAAGGATGTGCTGAGGGGACTGACGATGTAACCAAGTGAGATAAAGGAAAGGTGTGACTTTTATTGCTGTAAAGTGCCTTGCTCACTCTCTCCTCCTAACCATGAAACAAAACTGTGGTTTATATACAGAAAATCCTTCATGCCATGTAAACAACAAAATAAAACTTTTAGTGGGTGATGAAATGCCTCCTGTGACTGCTAAACTATCTAACTCAATCTGCCTCAGTCGCCACTGGTGTAATGTGGACATTGAGTTGATGGGATGCCGGTATTGTCTGAGAGCTACGGGGTTTTTACCCCATGGAATTTCCTGTCTTTGCACATGCCTTGGCATGTAGAATTTCCTGTATTTAAACTGGGAGCATTCCTTCTATTAGACAAGCTCAACCACTCCTTGTCAATGTCAGTTTAGGTCACATCAATCCTCTATCTCAATTGGGTTCAGCTTCAACCCCTTTTGCTTCACCTGTGTTTGTCTACTGTATTTACTACAATTGCATTCCAAGTCAACTTCCCTTCCTCTATCCATTGGTGTAGGTCCGGTCACAGAGAAATTATCGCCACAAGGTGCATGCTTGGTCATAACACCATCCAACTAAGGGAAGGCGCATCAAACCCCCCCACACCGGTATGGTGTGGGAACTCTGTGGCCCTTTGTTGTAGCCTAGTAATAGTACGTTAATTTGCCAAGAGTATAATTTGTTTCAAGTTAATGCCTTAGCAAACATCTCTTAACAGTATACGGCAAGGGTTTTAACAGTAACGAACATATTCTGAATATTCTCCTGCTCTTACCCAAATTTTGACCTACTTTCGAATCCTAATAACTCCATTAAAACTTCAGATACTCTTATTTTTCCCCAATTAATGTAATGTGTAGAGGATCATCCATTATATCGCATAATGGAGCTATAATTCTCATCAGTACTGTAGTTGAAAATTCTTTGGGGGTTAAAGATGAACAATATTTTCTTGGCAAAGCACTTGGGCTACGGAATTCTCTCACTAGAGAGAGGGGGAATGGGGTACAACTGCACCATGTCCGGGTGAGGAAATGATGTTCGGTAGTCATAGCGTTAGGTGCTATACGACGGGGCTAGTGGCCATTACTATCGATACTCGCTGTATTGTCAGGTTGGACACCGGTATCTGGAAAGTAATCCAATAGTTATTATATTACGGTATGATACTCAGCTACTGTACAAGTATAGTAGTGAGGTCTGGTGATTGTCTGGCCCAGATCCCAGTATTCACCCCACCCCTCTATATTTCCTAGAAGCGCGAATGGCGAATTGAGCTGTGGGGTTGCAGTTACGATAGCGCTTCTTATCCACAAGGCGATACCATAGAAGCCTACTACGGCATTTTTAAGCATTACGTGTGACTGAAGCTACAATTTTGCCTTTCCCGAGAGCCTTCCGCTATCGATAGCCTTCCATAATTGTTTATTGTAGTGGCCATAATGGGCCACTCTACGGGTGATCCGTTCGCCTTTCCAAGCCCAACCGGTGGCAACGTTTTCACCTGCCAAACAAAACCAGGTTGCCCCCATTTATCAATACTGGGTATCGTCTGGTAATTGTGTGTCCTCTTCCTCGCAATCCTCGAGTAGGGTCTCCCCTTCCCCCTTTCCCCCGTCTTCTCTGGGCTTCTTATTTCTCCTTGCCCTCCCGGGATCAACGAAATTCTCTGCCCACTCTGCGACCCTCCTGATCTTCTCCAGTCCAAGATCCTCACCCCCACTCTGGAGATTGACATTGCCCCATTTACTTCGTTCCCGTGATCCGAACCGGTTAAGTCTGTAAACTAGCTTAATATGTGTACGGTCTTTCCTCAACGTGGCCCCGTTCACCTTATCGTTCCAAACGCCCAAAGCCAAGTTTTCAATAAGTATGACGTCCTGAAGGCGGAGGGAGTCGACTGTCTCTTTGAAGGTCCTACTGGCCGGAGTAGTGGATGTGAGAGGAATCCAGATGTCAATCTTGAATCCAGCAGCAGTCTCATCCCCCACCAAGAGTGTTTGGAGCATTAAGGGTTTGTGGAACTTCCTGGTTACTATATTCCGGGCGGGGGAGATGGAGATTATTCCCACAATTGTAGATATCGACATTGTTTGCGGTTGGATTGAGGTCAAGTGCCGAGCATTGGGGAGACTTCGTAAGTCTGTAAGCATTCCGATGGGCGGTAGTACTGGAATGCAGGAGTTCGGGGCGGCATTGCTCGTGAAGGAAGCAAAGGAGCCATCCGTGGTAGTGACAATGGAGGTATTAACTGAGGTAGTAGTCGAAAGGTGCACGGGAGAGGATGGGACATTATGAATTGCAAAGGAACGGGTGAGATCTTCGCTACTGGCCGGAGCGGCAGAGGAGGATGAGTATTCCGTCGATGTTTCATCACAAGACCCAGCTGGTGGAATGATTGGTGTGTGCGGCTTTTGGGAGAAGCCAGTTGGCAGCCGTTTCCTCTTCAACGGGAGCATCCGCCAGGCTGCATGCTCGCTTGTTGCCGAGGTGATTGTAGTCGGGGTGGGGATAACATCTCCGCCGCCACCAGTTCCGTTGCTATTTCGATCCCGGAAAGCATCCAATAATTCGTCATCTTTTAGGAGTTTGGGCGATTTCGTGTGGAGTACTGCTGAGCGAGGCGGAGCGCCGAGAAATATAATTGTCGTGCCACACCGCACCCGACTAGGAGATGATGGAGCGAAGGGGGTAGCGGGTGAAGAGGCAGTCTGGTAGCTTGATGGTAGTTGTGAGCTGGTGGTCATAGCCGATGGATGAATAGCAGTTTCCGGGGAGATATCCTCGTGTATGCTACTTGCAAAGGTTAAATTCGGTGTTTGAAGTTCCTGCAAAGTCTACAGACTGCAGTGCCGGTAGTTCGTAACTGATTGACGCTTTGTTGGTAGGTGATGGTGCTGTACTCGAGTACCCGTACCTGCCTCAGGAATCTGGTTGCCCCGAGATACAGCCAAATAAACCAAGGTGAAGCGGGCTAATCCCGATGGATAAAGGAATGTGAGTGGGGAAAAAGAAAGTACTCATACATGATAAAATTAGGCTGGAGGGCTTTTGTGAAGGATCAGAACGACACACAGTCAGTGCGTGTTGTGCGAGGTGATGTGTAGACCGCAGTATTCTTAGGGATTAAACGCACATGAAGAAAACACACTGTATTATGATCTATTTTATGTGACAGTTGCCTGGCACCGCATTGGCAGCCATCTTGTTTGTGGGTATATAGAATGTGGGGTACGGTAAATGCCACACATTCTCTCCCTCCCCCCCGTCGGCCGGCAGGAAAAAATAGACAATAGTCTCATTACTCTCCTCTTGTAGCCTATGGTGCCAGTGTTAGGGACTCACTTATTAGGGAAAGTGGCCCATTCTAAACCAATTGTTTACTCGGTTCAAACTGAATGACTGACGGGGAAGAGATTACCGTCTCTTATGTACAGTACTGTACCGTACAGTTGCCAATGTGCAGCATGCGCAACCTTTACTCGAGTAGATGCAGAAGTGGGATGACGGCCCATAGATCTTAGCAATTTGATACGATATGAAATATCAATGGTGAAAGGGGGGAGTCGGAATGTCCAGGACGAGTTGACAGGCGTTGAGATGCAGGACGCAGATAGCCAACAATGATCAGTTAGGGATGTAGTGGGATACAATACTCGAGTAAGTGGGAGGGAGGAGAAAAAGTAAAGAAGGCCCAATCGAGGAGGCAAGCCTGCTGATGGTGGTCGAATTGGTCGAAGTGAATCAACTTCCCCCCCTGCTATGATACGCTGCCACTGTTGCTCTAGGAGACCAAACACAGGGAGCAAGGAGTTTTCCACTCAAAACTTTCCCCATCCGTCAAATTTCAGATTGCGGGCAAGTGGGCTGCTTTGTTACCGTAGCAACCGTCCAAGAGCCTCACCAACTGTTGCCAGCTCAGTCGTAAACAACGGGCAGAGTCATTCACAATGTTCTTTTAGGTATAGACAATGGCTGCGGGCAGGTGAAATAAAATAAGAGAAACCCTCTCTATGCTGCCTCGTACATACTTATCCCCCCTCCTCTGCTCCTCCATCTGAATCCTTCATTATCCCTCCTTGTTCCCTGTGAAAACCCGTGACTCCCACCTTTCTCGTGCTATTGTTGTGGTTGTCGCGATTCCTCCCCCTTTGCTCTTCCTTACTGTTTTGGCATTTACTTCTGCTCCTTTCCTTTCCTTCCTTTCTCTCCTCCTTTCCCTTTCTTTCTTTCCTTGCTTTCATCGATCGCCTCCTGTGTTTTGGTTGTTGCAATTGCATGTGTTTTTAGTTGTTATCGTGCTTTACGTTCAAGCACCCCCTTCTTTCCGGATAACCCTACGTCCGCACCCCCAATGACCACCATGACCACTGTCACTCCCCAGACACCAGGCCATAAACGGTCGGCAACCGCGATAATACGCTCTTTTGTTTCCCCTCACAAATCACCATCAAAGTCACCCCAGAAATCTCCTCGAAGGTTCCCTGGCGGGGGGTCATCTTCATATTTTAGCGGCAGCGGGTCTTCAAATCCTCTGAATAGCTATATGGTAACAGGTTCAATGGACCCCCCTCAGCTACCAGAGTTGTCGTTAGACAATTCCTCGTTCTTGCCGCCCTTGGAACTACCCAATCCACCATTCGCTCAAAAGCCAAGCGGAAAGATGCATAAGAGGTCCCTCTCGTCTCTTTCAATTTCGTCGTTTACTTTGAGGAAGGATAAATCGGTTCCTTCTTCGCCCACGAGAGGCAGTTTGGAGGTTCGGGGAGGCACCGTGTTTGATCTGATCAACAATTTCAATAAGGTGGCTGAACAGAGCTCAGCTCAGAATACGGGACGCTTTGGAGGTGAAAAGAAGCCGAACAAAGCTAGGAGCACAATTGATTTTTCAATTCTGAGAATGAATAAGAAGCCTTCCGTTGATATCAAAGGCTCTTCAAGAGATAAGGAAAATCAGAGACCAGCCCCTGAGCTTACATCAAACACATCTACAGGCATAGGGTTTACCAACAACCCCGGGTCAATTGGAGGTTTACATCTTTTCTCTCTGCCAAAAGACCACCCTCATTCTCAAAGCAAGAAGCCCCCGCCAGTTCCATTCAAGGATCGTAGTCCTAGAATTACCCCGTCATGTTCAAACACCTCCCTCCAGCGCAGTCTTCTCCCCCCTGCGCTGATCGAGCAGCAGCAACCACGAGCTTCATTCTCATCTATCTCTTCTATCTCCACCCAGCAAGAACGGGCAAGTACGGAAGAATTGGTCAGGAAGTATACTCCAAACGAATATACACCATCATCTCAACGCAATTTCTTCGGCCAACACGAGCCTAACCTTACTAGGAAGCCTGTAAACGGCTCAACTGGAAGTGGTAGCAGTAGCGGAAAGCCTAAGCAGAGACCAAAGAGTGCCTACATCCCTCCTTCGACTTCGTTACTATCTGGTGGATTTAGTGTCGCATCCCCAAGAAAGGGGAGTTACGAGCTACGGTACAGCATGGAGAAGAAACGATCAGAAGACGGCTGGAGGTCCCCTACTGGGAGTCAAGGTAGCCAGGGAAGCCAAGGCAGTCAAGAGAGTGGAAAGAGTGCCAAGAGCAGCCATAACGCTGACTTGGATTTGGAGGGAATTGACGTTGCCTTTGAAGCTTTACTTGTTAGTTATTTTGTAATATGTGTTTCGTTTACTCTCACTGACCTGTCTGAAATAGGATTCTCGGGGTGTGCCGGAAAATCTCCGGGACCGGATGCGAAAGCTGGATATTAGAGTAAAACAAGAATTTATTAGAAAAGAGGCACAAATGGAGAAGACTGCCGAAAAAGTTGTAGAGACACCCTCTTCATCTGGTTTATTTGGGAGAAGGCCACAAACTGCACATGGAGGAAGATCCGAAGCAAGACCAAAGTCAAGAGAGGGAACCAGGAGCCTCGATGCGCCGCCTAGTCCAACAAAGAAGACTAGACCCCGTAGTCGTACTTTTGGAGCTTCTAAAGACAAGGGTTTGTCTACTCCTTCGTTTTTAGGCTCGCCGAAGAAGCAAAAGAGTTCGGATTCGGGCCCTACCGGTGACAAGAGCCTACGTGTTAAGGGTATTGTATTCCCTCCGGCCTCGGCATCTGCCATTCCGAGCAACGGCTCAACCTCTCCAACTATGGTCCCCACTCTTGGTCCTCAAGAATGGGTCGAGTGGCTCCGGGACGCGGCCAGACCTAAAATTAAGGGACACAAGATGTTCGTGGAAGGAATTGATGGAAAATGTATTCGGGGTGAGCAGGGAATGAAGGATGTTGAGGTTTCTGCACTTCATAAGCTCCGTCTCGTGCTTCGGAATGAACGCTTGAGATGGGTTGAGAGATTCGTTGAGCTTGGTGGAATGCAGGCAGTTTGGGGTGTTCTGGAGAGGGTATTGCGCATTGAGTGGAGGTAATAGCCCCTGGTGGCTCTTCTAATTATTCATTAACCTTGTTACTTACTGTTTTTATATGAGTTAGGGAGGAGCATGAAGATTTGTTGCTTCACGAGCTTCTGCTCTGTCTTAAGGCGCTCTGCACAGCTTCTTTGGCCCTGGAGAAGCTGCTAGAGATGGAGAACATGGTCTTTCCTCGTTTGATTGAACTTCTGTTTGATGAGGAAAAGAAAGGACCATCGGAATTCACAACCCGCGGGCTCATTATTAATCTTTTGTTCACGCATCTGTCTACTGCGCCACACACCCAAAAGCTAGGGCGGACGAAGAGGTTACTGGGATACCTTGCCGATAAGGTTCCTAATGAGGATCAGCGGCCGGTTGAGTTCATTGAGGTTGCTCATACGAGACGGCCTTACAAGAGATGGTGCAAAGAGGTTACTAATATTACGAAGGAAGTCTTCTGGATATTCCTCCATGGTGCAAATGTTATTGCGTTGCCAGTGTTACCGCCAAACAATAGTCAGGGAGGGGACTACTCATATTGCACGAATCATTTCCCTGCAGAACGTCCGCCAGTACCGGCGGCCCCTTATGTGGGTGGCGTTGAGTGGGAAGCTACCAGCTACCTTGCAAACCACATGGACTTGCTCAATGGGTGCATTGCGAGCCTGGGGACTCGTGAGGAGCGAAACAATCTTCGCCTAGACCTTAGGAACTCTGGATGGGAGAGACTTATGGGGGGTAGCTTGAGGACGTGCAAGGAGCGGTTACACACTGCTCTTCACGAAGGGCTTAAGACATGGGTAGCTGCAGCCGTGGCAGACGAGTGGGAAATCTCTGATGTTAGATTTGGTCCAAGGACCGAACAGTACAGCCGAGATGCGGGAAAAGAGGCCAAGAAGGAGAGACGCAGGAGGAAGGAGCAACAGCGTGAGCAGGAGGAACTTAACCTTCAACTTCCCAAGCTGGATTTCGCCAATGGTGGTGTTGCAGCTAGTGGGAAATCGAGAAATGATAATACAGATGGAGGATGGCTATACTGATTAGACATCCGGTTGTGCCTCGGTCTGTGTTGACTGCTGGGATGTGTCTGAGTTTGTGTTCGGCTTGCTTGGCGGTGATGATGACGATGATTAGACATGACAAACCTTGATTTCTTTTTTGTCGTTTGTAATTGTTTTTCTGGGGGGGCGGGGGGGCAACTGCGATGGGGATGATTGACAATCAGCATCTCCCAACGATACCTCGGGCGGGACGAAAGAAAGGATGGGATATTGCTAACAACTTATTGGAGCATCGGGTCATTACGGATTTTACGGTGGATGGTGTCTTGCTTAGTTTACTCACATACTTTCCTTACTCCTATACTCAAAAACACTGACTGTTACTCCTGCTCTCCTCTCCTTGCGTGGCATTCAGTTTTTTGTATATGTATGTTTTAAGTATTTTGTTCAGGCGTCTGTTGGGCGTTCTTTTTTCCCTTTTATCTTAACGTCCCGAAACTCTCTCTCTTTTTTTTCCCTTCTCTTTTTGCTATCCAATCTTCTACCATTCACTGTTTATACTTTCTCTACCCATTACTTTTTCATATTTGGAGTCGAGTGAAATAACTCAGTCCAACCAATTTCGTTATACGTTTTCTGGAAGGATGAAGGTAGTAGGATGGGGGAGGAAGGTACGATATTGGGGAAGGAGGGACTGATAAGGTTGTTGGAGGGTAGTTTATGAAGTCACGATGAAATTTTCCTTTCCAGATATATTTTCAATTTTTTTGCATGGAACATATCAGATGAGTTAGAGTCGGGAATGTTGCAGGTCCGTAGTGTTTACCTTTAGTTTGGGTTGGACTTGGAGTGGACGGACTACTTAACTAGTAAATATGCATAGTTACAAGCACTCTTTGAATGGTCTGAACGTGTGGAATTAAAGGCCGAACCATTTCGCATGGTATGGATTCCTTGAGACAAAGGTTGAAGGTATAGCACATATTTCACCTGAGCCATTGGAACCTGTGCTATGGAGGATATAATACATAATGCCTGGCCTACCGTGTATGAAACGATCGAGTGATAATATATGAATTCTCATAGTGTGAAGCATCGGGGAGCCCTTGTTGTCTGTGCCAGTGTTAGCATAAACCTGTCTACAGGGACAAGTAACCCAGTCGTGGGGCAGTTCCTACAATTTACAAAAAATAGCATTCAACTATTGATTCTTTAAAGCAGGTGTAATATAAAAAAAAAGTCTTAGGAGTACTCCTTTTTCTTATTTCTACCTCCAGGTTTTTCTCTCCATACGCATACAAATTACAACATCTATTATTACAAACTATCTCCAGCATTCCCTATAAGAGCTGTCATAGGAATACTTTTTTCTTTTACTTCTTATCTCATACAACATACAACATTTATTGTTAGATATTGCTAGGGAGTAGTAGACTCTAAGGTATACTGAGACTAGCTAAAGGGAAAATCCTTTATCATAGACAGGGACTTGTCAAGGAGGACTTGTAATAATATAACTTGTCAATGTTTCTTAAGAGTATGAAAGATAATTGTGATAAAGATTTTGTAATAACTTATTATATTGATAAGATGTCTTCTTTAAAGCTTGTTAAGTCAAATAGCTAGTAAGGCACTTCAATGTTTACATGCTATATCTGAGTATTTATGGGTTACATCTATCTACTATACTAATAGACTTAAAGGATCTGCTGATAAAATTAAGATATCTAAACTGGTATGGATAGAGTTTTAATTCTGAGAATATTTTTCCTACCTAGTATAGAGATTTGTAAGAACTCTAATTCTTTCAGAAGTGTGTATAACTTCTCTACTAAGTAGTTTTTGATTCCATTACTAAATAGACTTTAATTTAAGTATGTGTAATGATCCCTCCTTAGATGGTTAGTTCTTAGTGACGGGGAACGATACTTCTCTTCTCCTTCTTCTTCTTTCTTCGTCTTACGATAGCGCTAGGCCTCCGCCTACATTACCAATAGTACAAGACCTCTGTCTTCTATCGGGAACGCCTATCGTAAGCTTTCTCTAACTCTTCTTTGTGAAGAACTTTCCTTGGTGTAACAATAACGTTGCAATAAAGATAAAGATTATAAAGGTGTTTTATATTCGTTAAAGTAATAAGTAGGAAAAGTACTTAGAACAAAGTGTGAAGAACCTATCCTCCTCGGCCATATCGGCCTCCTTATATAGTGTTCTTCCCGCCCATAGTCATGTGACCCAAAGTGGTCATATGTGTGAAACCAAATTATAACAAACTAGTCATGTGACCAAAGTGGTCACATGTACAAAACCCATGACCTCATAACGAGGTCATGTACGAAATATAAATCATATACGCAAGGCCTACTCTCAAGGCACACTCGCAAGGCAGACTCGCCAGGTGCACTCCTATGACTCATATTTGAGCCATATGCGAAAGCATCACAAATCCCATACATAACAAATCATATGACTTGAATGAGTCATATGTATGAAACAATAACATACCTGTGACTCATAACCATGTGTCACATGAAAACCTTTTCCTCGCCAAGCCATATTCATAATATTAGCTCCTCTTCCTCTAAGCTTGAGTCCCATCAGGCTCTTTCCTCAACCTTCAATAGTTTCCGTCCTGCCGAGTGCATAGATGTAACGATCTCTTTCTCGGTAGTTAGCTCTTGGCGACGGGGAATGATACTTATCTCTTCTGTCTTCTTCTTCCTTTGTCTAACGATAGCTATAGGCCTATGCCCACGTTACCGATAGTACAAGACCTTTGTCTTCTATCGGGAACGCCTATCGTAAGCTTTCTCTAACTCTTCTTCGTGAAGAGCTCTCCTCTGCATAACAACAACGTTGCAATAAAGATAAAGATCGTAAAGGTGTTTTATATTCGTTAAGTAATAAGTAGGAAAAGTACTTAGAACAAAGCGTGAAGAACCTATCTTTCTCGGCCGCATCGGCCTCCTTATATAGTGTTCTTCCCGCCTTTAATCATGTGACCTAAAGTGATCTCATGTGTGAAACCAAATCATAACAAACTAGTCATGTGACCAAAGTGATCACATGCTCAAAACCCATGACCTCATAGCGAGGTCATGTGCAAAACTCATAAACCAATCATAACGCAATAAACAAGTCATATGACTCGACTGAGTCATATGCGCGAAACCCATGACCTCGTAATGAGGTCATGTGCGAAACATAAATCATATGTGCAAGGCTTACCTGCAAGGCACACTCGCAAGGCATACTCGTCAGGCGCATGTCCCATGACTCATACTTGAGCCATGTGCGAAAGCATCACAAATCTCACACATAACAAATCATATAACCTGAATGAGTTATATGCGCAAAACAATAACATACCTGTGACTCATAACCATGTGTCACATGAAAACCTTTTCCATGCCAAGCCACATTCATGACATTAGCTCCACTCCTCCAAAGCCTCAGTCCCATCAGGCTTTTTCTCCCTGTTTCAATAGTTCCCATCCTGCCGAGCGCATGCTCCTTCTCAGCTTGTGGAACTTTTCATCTGCCGTCCTCCACCTGACCCTTACTAATTCCAGGGTAAGATTTGCCATCTCGATCGTGTGCCGCTGATTATCGTTCAGCTGTCTTAACTCCGTGATCGTTTTGTCGTTTGCCGAAATTGTGGCCTTGGCTTGGCCAAGTTGTTCTTGGAGTCCCCGGATCTGCCTGTGTAGGCTCCTCACATCCGGTTCCGTGTCTGCTGAGGAGTTTTGGGCCCCTCCATCTCTGGACCACGTCCTCGCCGCCCATGCCGTTCTGGCATCCTCTCCTTCTAATTCTTTCCTGCTTCCATCCTTCTGCGGGTAGAATCCTGCAGATATTTTCTGTGCCCTGTGCATCCTGCACACATTTCTGAAGCATTGTTGCCAATGCTTCAGGACGTGGTCTGGGCGTGGGCCACGCTTTCGACATTCCCTCGGGAACCATCCCGAGCCTTCTTTATCGCCAAAGTGTGTTTGGTAACTGTCATCGTAGCATACCGTCCATAACATGGCATTATGCTGTGCTTGTTGTTCCCTTTCCTTGAGCTCTTCGTCGGTTGGCCCCATGAATGAGTATTTGGGGCTAGTGGGTGTGGTTTGGCGGGGGCTATCGCCCCAGCCTTCGTGTTGTTGCAATGGCACGGCAGCCTTTCCCTCACCTCTGTCTTGATTGAACGTGATCGTCACCTGGGCTGGGCTTGCCTGGGTATCGCTGGTGGAAGGTTGAGATGGCATCTTGTGTGTTTCCGAAGTTATATGCAAAGTACCAAGTTTTATTGTGTTCTGGAGAATATCCTGTCCACTTGGCTCGGTATTGGAGGTGACCGTGGAAGAAGCGGGAATCAACTATTTCGTCGAGCTCGTATTCTGGTTCTCCGTCGAGTTCGATCGGTGGGGGAGGAATAAGTGTTTGTGAAGGAAACCTATTGTCGTTGTGTAATTCAAGGAGTGAGATGTGGAATGTGTTGTGTATTCGCATTGAGGGGGGAAGGTCGAGTTTATAAGCTCGACTGCCCACTTTTTCCAGTATCCAGAATGGTCCTATTTTCTTGTAGTCCAATTTCTTTGATGGTCGCATCGTATGAATGTTGCATGGTATTAGCCATACCATATCTCCTGGTCGTCTGTTCGGATCTGGTCTTCAGTGCTTGTCGTATTGTTCCTTCTGTCGTTGTTGTGCTTGACTCATTTCGTATTGTAATGTTTCGTGTAGTATCACCATATCGGTTTTATCCGGTATCACATCATTAGTCGTATGATATGTGGTCTGACTTTGTGGATGTTGTCCGTAATTTGCAAAGAAGGGTGTCGTGCCAATTGTTTCTTGTTTTCCATTGTTGTATGCGAATTCGGCCATAGATAACAGTTTGTACCAATCATCTTGCTGATAATTGACGTAGGCCCTTAAATATTGTTCGAGTATCGCATTTACCCGTTCCGTTTGTCCATCCGTTTGTGGGTGGAACACTGTGCTCATTCTGTTTTCTATTCCCATTTCTCCAGTTACTTTCTTCCATAGCC